AAAGTATGACAGCACAGAAAAAAAGAGAGGGCAGACTTTTGTCCACAGGTGTATTTGATTTCCATAAGATAAGTTCCTTATATAATCGGATTTGAATAAAATTCCAATATTTGTAAGTATTTTTCTGTAGAACTTGATGAATTATACTGTACAATTTTAACTAAACTCTAACATTTATGAAAACCATAATTTTTGTATAATAAGAAGCATTAAATTTTGATCAATGACTTACAGTTAGTCAAAAAAGTATTGGAGCACCCTGTTTTAGTCTCTTACAAAGATTTTATTAAAATAAACCCTTTAGAAAGGCGAGTTCTTGTGAAACTTATGTATGATAGAGAACTTTGTTTGCTCTATCCGATGAAGGTATTTGGAGAAAAAAAACAACATGTTTCGAAATTGAAAATGAATTTTTGCGAAAAACCATGAAATTTTTGGAAAAAATCGATCCCTAACAAAATTTGGTGATTTACTTGAATTGAAAAGCCACATATGTAGTTTTGTAGAGCAGCTCACGGCGCATCGAATGGTATATAGCAAATCAAATTTTCATCAAGTCTTGGTGCATTAAGAATCCTTATATGCGAAAAAAGCTTAGTTTAGAGATAATCGTTCTGTGCATGCAGACAAATCTGTTCTTGACATTGAAAATTGATCACTAATTCTAGTAAAGATCTTTGATCTTGGTTTTTTTTCTAATGTTGATGGGGGACGCGTCTGATTATTCATCATTGAGAAGAGAACTCTTGTAGTGTATGCTCTCATCCAAGAAAAGTGATAAACATTAGACTTGAGTCTAAGGTGCTTGTATATGTTTACTCACTGTATGTGTCCCAACCAGTATTTGGATTCTTAATGCATCAAGGCTTAATAAAAATTTGATTTGCTATATAACATTCGATGCACCGTGAACTGCTCTATAAAACTGCATATGTGGCTTTTCAATTCAAATAAACCACCAAATGTTGGCAGTGGATCTATTTTTTCCGAAAATTTCATGATTTTCTGCAAAAATTTATTTTCAATTTCGAAACATGTTGTTTTTTTCTCCAAATACCTTCACATTGGATAGAGGAAACAAAGTTTTCTGTCATATATAAGTTTCACAAGAGTTCGCCTTTCTAAAGGATTTATTTGAATAAAACCTTTGTATCAGACTAAAATAGGGTGGTTGAATAATTTTTGGAGCAATTGTATGTATACAGATAAATTTTCTAAGAAAATTCAACAGTAGACATCAGTTTTCTGAGCGTATGCGTTTTTCTCAACAAAATGAACTTTTATGTAATGATTTATTAGCAATCTAATTGAATTTCTTGGCAATAGAAACTTGTCACCACCCAAAAAATAGTTGACAATATGAGAAGACAAAGCTAACTACATAAGAATACGAGAAAAATGAAACGAATTAGTCAATGATGTTCGATGATAGTGATGATATGATGGAAATGTTGAATTTTCGGTGTAGGTGTGCGTTTGTGCCGTATTTCCTATAAAGAATAAATTGTGAATTAGTTCAGTATCATAAACTACCTAAAATGATAATCTTTCAAAGAAGAATGTACCAATGATGGAATAAAATATTAGCGACATTTTCTTAAAAAGTTATCATCGAAACAATATATTGACACAACATACCTGGCTTATTTGCCAATATTAATACAATCATGCATACGAACATCAAGACAACTACGAAGGAGTGTATTACGTTGATCAATACAAAATTCATAACGATTAACGCGACGAATATTCTGAAGATTACACTCGTCAAAACCAGCCTCAGCTTCCCCATTACAACTATTAAAATCACATGCATGTGTTGGGATTGAACCAGCGTCATTCATTCTGGTCCGTGCCATGCAAGTTGTAGCCATGAACACCAAGAGAATGGTCAAACAAATTAATCGGATAATCTTCTGCATTGTTGTTTGTTGCCGATCAGCGTTTGAAGAGTAAGTACTAGATGAATATCGGTAGGTATATGAATGGCATATTTCTATACTCGTGCCTCGGTTTTATATATATCTTGGCCAGCCACTTACGAAAAATGTATAAAAGAAAAGTTACTTTTATTTGCTCTACGCAATATACCCTATCATAATGATAACGACGGGAAAAAATCCATCTGTTTTGAGAATGAGTTTAGATAGAACGATTCCAAAGTATTTTAGACGATCGTTTTGAATGGAGCTTAGTCCATTCATGATCAAGTAAATTTGGAATCTTTATATGTTTTACATGTTGACCCTAATTCAAATCATAAGTTTATGAGAGTTGTATACAGGAGTCATCAAGTTTCATGAATTCTAAACTCTTGAGGATTTGGTAGAATTCATCGAATCTAACGATCTCACAGGATCTACAGAATCGACCGGACTCATAAAATTGAGAGAATTCCAGTGACTAACAAAATGCACTGAACTCATGGCATCCAAAGGAGTCACAGATCCCAAGAGATGCAAAAAAAAATCAAGAAACTTAGAGAACTTCGCAAATTTAGCAGTTAGTCATGCAAACTGCAACAATGCCATACATTCATGAATCGGAATATCGAAAAAGTGCCATGATATGTCAGGAATCTATATAAAATGTTGCTTTTTCATTCATCTTAATCTTAAAAAAAAGCTCTTTTTTTCGATTTTCAGTCTTTAGCATTCAAAAAAAACAATATTTATCTGGCATTAAGGGTAGTACTTTCACGTTCTTTTTGCTTTCAGCAATGAAAGAAAAGGAAAGTTAAAATATTTCGATATTCAATTGTTTCCTGAATTTATGTTATCAGTTGCAAATGAAATAAAGCAAATATTTAAACAGCTTTCACTTTAACGACTTTCTATTTGTCTCTTTGTTTTTTACTTCAAATCGTCTGTCTTTTGCTTATGTATTCCATCTTTTTCAACTACTCTTTAACCATTCATTTATATCTTTTTCTGCTATTTCTTTTAACACTGTTGCTTCCAAGCCTTTTTCATTCTGTTTTATTGAGAATGCAAAGTTTGAGCGTTCTTTGAGATCGAATCTCGATTCACTTTCAAGTGTGTATAAAAGGAATGAATTAGACAGAGACAGGCAAATTCTTTTTTACATATTACACTACGGTTTAAGGGATTCACATTTTCTTAATCAATGTAAGATGAAATGTAACTGTTTATTTATTTGAAAAGATTAAAGTGAAATTAACAAATTTCTTTAATCACATGAATTATTTTAACTTAAACAGAAATCTGAATGCAGCAAAGAAAAATAAATACTAAAAATATTTATTCTCAATCCTGAAAGGATGAGTATAGAAAACGGAAATTGCTAGTCCGTTTGTCCGCGTTTTGATTGGGTGAGTGTGGGTGGGTGTGTGGGTGTGGGTGTGGGTG